TTGATCAACAAATATAAAGAAAACCGTGTATAATGATCAAACCTCTGTATTATATATTTTATTATATATTTTTTTCTCAACGCCTTTAATTATATATTTATTTTTGTACTTGTATTTTCTATTGTTCTTACACGTGTATGTCCCAGTGTGTAAAAGTCCTCCTCCTTCACGGTGCACCTAGTTACACTTCTTCTGCTTTAATAAATAAAAAAATCTGTTTCCATTATGTATTATTTATTATTTATTTTATCATACTGTATTTCCCCCTCCGCTGCACTTCCCCTCCCCGCCGGCAGGGGTCTGGGTCACGTGAAGGTCAGCAGCAGAGAGGGGTTCACTGAAAGTTCACGCGCATATATTAGGCAATTCAATCTTTCACTTCAGTGGCAAAACTAGTTGGAAATGAGCTGCGCGCGGAGGGACGCATAACCCATTCGTCATCGGAGAGGAGAAGGTGTGCTTTTGAAACTGCGCGTTATTTCTGATAAAAGAGGAGAGAGATCCCCCAGCTGCACGAGACTCAGTGTGAGGAAACACATCGGGATATCATCGTTATTATTATTATCATTATTATCATCATTATTATTATTATTATTACATATTATCATGAGGAAGAATGCGCGTGTGTCCGTGGAACGCCGCGAGGACATGGAGCATTTAGAGGAGCGTTGTCTTCCGAAATAATTCATGATTCCGGTTCGGGACGAAGCAGAACAAGAGGAGCGAAATCCGCGGTGCCAAGAAGAAGAAGCAGAAGAAGAAGAAGAAGAGGGAGAGGAGGGAGAGGAGGAAGAGGAGGAAGAGGAGGAGGGGGGACAGTTTTTGATGGAGTTGTGTGCGCTTATGCCGCTCATATTTCTCCATTACGCGCAGGACTAGTTGACCGTCACCATGTTTGACTGCATGGACGTGCTGAGTCCCGGGCAGATGTTGGATTTCTACACCTCGAGCCCGTCCTCGTGCATGCTGCAGGAAAAAGCTCTGAAAGCCTGCATCAGCGGACTGCACGCGCACAGAGAGTGGCAGCACCGCAGGAGCGCGCACTGTAAGGTCCAACTGTGTGTGTGAGTGTGTGTGAGAGAGTGTGTGTGTTGTTGTTGTTGTGGTTATTATCGCTGCAGGGGGACAGGTAGGGGTCGCAGAGGGCCTGCAGGGGTCATAACTACTGCACAACTGGCCATTAGATCGTTTTATTAAGTAAGTGTGCTTTTGGGAACAGTTCTCATGGATGCCTTGTGATATATTAGGAGTATTACATCCTAAAAAACACATGGGCTGTGTTTTCTGGAGCAGATCTGGTTCAGTAAAGTCTATTTTTGTCGGAGTGTTTAAGTTGTTTTGATGCGTAAATACACTCCTTTAGTTGTAGGGAAACTCTTTGGAACCGGCATTTTAAAATGTAAGGAATAATGAACCGTAATGCAGGTGTGATGATTATTTTGACGGGTGTCCTTTAGGGAAACTCGTGGGTGATACTTCATAAAACTTCAATATGCATTATGAAGGTGTGTTTGTGGAGCAGATCTGACTCTGTATAATTCAGTGTGTGTTGGTCTAATTAGATCAAGTGTTTGTCATGCGTAAAACAACTCCAAAACTCTTGAGGAAAGGACGCTTAGGTTAGTCATTCTGTCTGTTAAAAAGTAGTTTTCCGATGCGTAAAAACACTCCTTCAGGACCCTTTGCTGGCATGAATGCATCATAAATATACTGGGGAGAACACACTTTAAAGCAGGTGTGGTCATTCCTGTGGAGGGGATGGTTTAGAGAACTCTGAGGGACGCATGGATGCCTCAGTGACATGATGCGTTCAATTTGAAAAAGTAAAGGCTGCAGACCATGAAGGGTCACCACGGTTTAAAGCGTCACTCTACAGGTGTCTAAGTGGCTTGGGTGATTAGATCATTCATAATCAGGCAAATTAGGGGAAGTGTCCTTTAGGGAAACTCTTCGTTAAAAAAATGCCTGGATGCGTTATACAACATATTAGGAGCAAAACGTCTTAAGAAAGCAGCTCGTGGACATGACGAAGTATATTTTAGTTTAATAAAAAGGTTGTTTATGATGCGTAAAAACACTCGTATCATATGTAGTCCTATATTAGGAGGAATAAAGACTTCGGGTTGTATTTCTGCAGCAGCTCTGATACGATACAGCGAGTTTGTGTCTTGATTATAAAAGTTGCTTTTAATGCGTAAAAACACTCCTTTAGAAATGACAACAGTAAAACAGGACGCGTGGTTTTAATGCTTTGTAAATATCATGAGGATTAAGTCATTGGAGAGGCTCAGAGACATGAGGAAGTGGATTTCTGTCCGATAAGAAAACTGTTTTTTATGCGTATTTAAACACTTCTTTAGGGGGGGACTCTTTGAAACAGGATGCGTGAATTCATTGTTAAATATGAGGAGGAATAAGTCTCAACACGGAGCTCAGAGACATGAAACTGTATTTCTGTTCAATAAGAAAGTGGCTTTTTTGTTTGCGTAGCGGCGGCACTTTGCAGACGTCATGTTTCACTCGTAAATCGTGCGGCTGTTCTCAGATCAGCGCAGAGTAAAACCTCCCCCTCCTCCCTGACACTCATTTAGATTAATGACAGCTCGCACTTTTCTCCAGGATTATTTAGAATGGGCTCCATTGATGGATCACTGTCCACGAGACTAAAGGGTGCGTTTAAAGACAGCTGGGAATAGTGGGAATACTTGGAGAGTAGAAGGACATATCATGAATACCGTTTAGGTCAGGGGGGTCAAACTCAAATACACAGTTGGCCAAGATTAAAAAATGGGTACTAGTGGAGGGCCGGACTGGTTCAATGTTTATTGCAGAACTTATTGAAATGAACTTATTGCACATATTAAACCTGGAACTAACAAAGCTTCAATTATTGCCTATAAAAACAACATTAAATAATCAGCTGCATTCATTTCTTATGGCTCTATCTGCAGCTTTTCCAGAGTCAGTTCTTATGAGTACATTTCCCCACAGGCCAACAACAGCTTCTAAAAACTATTCCCCTCAGAGAGAAAACCAAACATGCCCTGTTGTCCTGAGAGAAAGTGCAGAAGGAAACATCCATTAAACTCAGTGAGCTGCTCTGTGATGCTAGCTCAGATACTTGGCATCTCATCTTGGGAGCAAGGTCATCAATGTTTGGGCTCAGGCTCTGAGCGGAGGAGACCCTCAGGATGGAGTGAAGGTGTGAGAGCAATATACCGGAGGGCCAGATCTAATAGCAATTAGAAATTATCCTGCGGGCCGAAATTAAATCCACCACGGGCCAGATTTGGCCCCCGGGCCTCGAGTTTGACACATGTGCCTTTAGGAGATGATATGAGGATTGTGACAGTTTTATAATGTGACATGTATTCTAGGGAATTGTATGTATAGTTGATTGAGGTCCTTAACAACAAAAATAAGAATTATTAACATTTTCAATGAAAGCTCAATTAAATATTTCTTTAAATAAACACAAGTTAAAATGTGCAATGAATCGAATTAATGACCAATTATTCTAAAATCCTCCGAGTGTTGCAAAGTTATAACCTTTAAATACAATTATTATAAATGATAACGTGTTCACGCCGTCGTCACTTGCTATAACTCCAGATTTCCGTAGCTTTTCTTACTTTTCTTGTGAAAGTCCTCGCGCTGTGGGTCACTTCCTGCCCTGGGCTCTGTGTGTGATGATTGGTCCTCTCTGATGACCTGCAGCCGTCACTCCTCAGCAGGCGTTTGCTCGAGGGCACGCAGGCAGAGAGGCTGAGATCACAGGAGAAGTGACGGCAGCCATCTCTAACCCGAGCCGCTTCACTGGGATGATGGAAGACTTCTAGTGTGTGAGATAAATGCTCCTAACCAGAGTGCGAGGTCGCGTCTTTAAGTGACCTTTGAGCATCTCAGACAGAAACACTTCATTAGCTTTCTACAAGGGAAAGAAAACTAGACATGCTTCACATTTAAGAAGCTGAACATCTGCCATTTTGGGGACATTTTTAAACCAATAATAAAATTACAATCATTTCAGGGATTAGTTAGCTGCCGGCTTCTTTTAATACCGATAATACAAAATACAGCAATGTATTTAAATTCTTATTTTATGTGAATGGGCGTTTAATATTAAGTTAGTGCGTAAACACAATCTGAAATACTGAATTGTTGTTTATTTACCTTTTGTTTGGAAACATGTGTGTAGGTGTCGTGTGCAGAGTGAATCAAATGTATGGGAGCAAATCTGACAAATATTTCCTCAGAAAATGGACTTCCTATTTGCAGATTACCGCTTTAATGTAATTTAGCCGATCAAATGATTCTATATTATCACCGAGTGTCTGAGATCTCTCCGTGCATCGAGGCGCTCTGACAGAACCGTCGTTTAGATATAAGAGCTTTTACCTGTACGACAAAAAGACTCGTTCATTTGTTTTTGGATATTATCTATTTGAAAATGTTTTATAATATTGATAATTATATATTTTTTAGCGTTTGAAATCATTCCTATGAGTTGTAAATTATTGCATTTCTTTCATGACGCTCTACTTGATCAGTTATTCCTGTCATTCATCCGCGGAAGAACCAGCTGTCAATATCCGCCTGTTGTCATGTTTTATAGTATTTTCTTATAAGTAGAAGTACTCAGATCTTGTACTTGAGTAAAAGTAGAAGTACTCAGGTCTTGTTCTTGAGTAAAAGTAGAAGTAGTCAGATCTTGTAGTAAAAGTAGAAGTACTCAGATCTTGTACTTGAGTAAAAGTAGAAGTACTCAGATCTTGTACTTGAGTAAAAGTAGAAGTACTCAGATCTTGTACTTTAGTAAGAGTAGAAGTACTCAGATCATGTACTTTAGTAAAAGTAGAAGTACTCAGATCTTGTACTTTAGTAAGAGTAGAAGTACTCAGATCTTGTACTTGAGTAAAAGGAGAAGTACTCAGATCTTGTACTTGAGTTAAAGTGGAAGTACTCAGATCCTGTACTTGAGTAAAAGCAGAAGTACTCAGATCTTGTACTTTAGTAAGAGTAGAAGTACTCAGATCTTGTACTTGAGTAAAAGGAGAAGTACTCAGGTCTTGTTCTTGAGTAAAAGTAGAAGTACCAGAGTGTATGAATACTCTGTTACAGTAAAAGTCCTGCATTCAAAATGTTCCTCAAGTGAAAGTAGAAAAGTATTCTCATCAAAATATAGTTAAAGTAGCGACAGTAAAAGTAGTCGTTGTGCAGATTGGTCCATTTCAGAATAATATATATGATATGTTTTATAATGATTGATCATGAAAGTGTTCTCAAAGCTGGTGAAGGTGCAGCTAGTTTGAAGTACTTTGTATACTGCAGGGTAGCTGGTGGATTTACTCCAGGTGGAACTAAAGTCTGACTCAACACTTGATTAGATTTCACATCCTTCATCCACATCATGATTTTATTTGTGTGTTTTCTCACGTTGATCTGAAGCCCCTCTCAGGGTCAGTGGAGGTGAAGCTTCTTTATTCGCTCAGATAACGATGAAACCTCCTGGGGTTTAATTAGCCTCATCGACAGCGAGCCGTCCGTTGAAGCTCTTCCTCTCGGAGTTTAGATGTTCATTAACGATGATCAAGGAGCATTTACTCGGATGAAACGGCTTAACAGACGAGGCTGCACAACAAGGGGAGTTTCACAATAAAAGTCCTCAATTAGGAAACTCAGTATTTTAATATGTCCATTCATTGTGTTGACAGCGCTGGTAATGCAACACCAAGAAAGTCCTAATGAGAAGCTTCATAACATCCAAAAACACAAAACAAACACCACCTAGGTGTGTGTGTGTGTGTGTGTGTGTGTGTGTGTGTGTGTGTGTGTGTGTGTGTGTGTGTGTGTGTGTGTGTGTGTGTGTGTGTGTGTGTGTGTGTGTGTGTGTGTGTGTGTGTGTGTGTGTGTGTGTGTGCGTGCGTGCGTGCGTGCGTGCGTGCGTGCGTGCGTGCGTGCGTGCGTGCGTGCGTGCGTGCGTGCGTGCGTGCGTGTGTGCGTGTGTGTGTGTGTTTTGGGATAATTGGGGCCTCCTTGTGTTGT